CGCCTTCACGGGCGAGGATAAATTGTAGAGTTTCCAGCTCCCCTGTCCGCCAAGGCGGATGCCCTGGACTTGGTTTTCTGCGACGGGGACCCCACCGTGGCGCAAGCATGAACGGGATGATGATGAAGACCGCCCTCGTCGTGTGCGGCATCGTGATGATCATGGTGGATGGCGCCAGCGCGCGTCCTGCAGCCACTGGGAGTACGCCAATCGTGGGAAGGAGGTGTGCTCGAAGTGCGGTGGAGCCTACGTCGATCGAGGTGCTGCTGGTGGGGATGGTCGTGGTGCCCCGTTGCCGCCCCTGCTGCACCTGCGCCTGATCCCCATGCTGAGCAGCTACGTGCCGCCACGGCCACTCTGTTGGCGGCACGTCCTGGGCTCCAAGAGTCTTTCGGCGACCTGGTGGTGCCGCCCGCGCCCCCCGCAGTGGTCCTCACCCCCTCGCAGCTCGACATTGCGGCGCACATCGAGCGAACCCACCTGGCCAAAGTGGTGGAGGACGCTGCCCGACAGGTTCGGCTGGCATGCCAGGAGGTCGAGCAGAAGCGTACCCAGGCCCAGAAGATCCGTGAGTAGCTCGAGGAGGCTCGCGAGGCCCTGCGAGCTGCTGAGGAGGCGCAGCGCGGCGCCCAGCAGGCCCGGCGCGACGCCGACCAGGCCACGCAGTCCTTCGACCCTGAGACTTGGAAGACTGCCAAGGCAGCAGAGGCGCGCGAGGCCGAGGCCGATCGCCTGCGTCAGCAGCGGGCTGCGCCCCCCGCTGATACCGCCGCGACGCGCGCGGCCGCCGAGCCTGCCCGCCCCGTCGGCGCCGCTGGCGCTGCTGGAGATGACCACGCTGCTGGTAATGCTGAGCCAGCGCCCATGGTGGTGGAGCCGCCTGACTTCGCCACCAAGTCGGCGGACCAGCTCGCTGCCTGGGCACGCGAGCACAACATGCCTGCAGAACTGTGGGAGGCGTTCGTGGCCATGCGCGCCACCATCCAGCGTGCTAAAGACGATGCTGGCAGCGATGCAGGCGGCAGCGATGCAGGAGCTGGCGCCGACGAGCTGCGCGCCCTTCGGAAGCGCGGGCAGGAGCAGATCCCCACTGCAGGGGACCAGCAACGAATGGAGATCTTCATCATGGCCCGCGCCAAAAACCGCACTGCCAAGCGCCTGCGCACGACCAAGGAGCAGATCAACGAGCACTTCGCTGAGCTTCTCAAGCAGGCCGCCTCTGCCCCAGTGCCTGCAGGGCCCACTCTTCAGCATCCGTTGGCGCGCTGAGTGTCTGAAGTCCGAGTGCGCGTGCGCGCGCGTCAGTGGCGCACCTCAGGCATCCTCGCCGCCGCGCCCCAGCTGGGGCTGCGAGGCTCAGAGGGGAGCGTCGCGGGGGAAGTGGCAGTCGTGAGGCCCGTGGGCCCACCGAGTGCCGCGGGCTCCCGTTCGGGGGCTGCCGTCGGCGCGAGCAGCGGGAATCGCGCCGCTGCTTCGCGCAGCGCGGGCGGGATCCGCCGCCGCCGGGGGCTCGGCAGGGGGTTGCTCGGCGAGCGCGCCAAGGCCCCCCACGCACAGGGCAAACGCAACCGCGCGGCTTGCCCTCCTTTTGCCCAGAAGACGCAGATGAGAAGCATCCATGTGTCCAGCTGGCGCGTTGCAACATCATGGTCGAAGGTCACTCAAGACGTTGCCACTGGCCTCCCGGGCCGCCCAGATGCCCCCCCCCCCCCCCCCCCCCCTTCCGCCCCGATGCCCCCCTCTTTTGCGAGCGCCGCCCGCAGCAGAGTGCGCTGCCTCGCGCCGAGAGAGAGAGAGGAGAGAGAGAGAGAGAGAGAGAGAGAGAGAGAGAGAAGAGAGAGAGAGAGAGAGAGAGAGAGAGAGAGAGAGAGAGAGAGAGAGAGAGAGAGAGAGAGAGAGATCGCAGCGATGGGCTGGAGGCCGCATCTGCAGGCGGGCGTTCCAAGCGGGGGCGGCGGGACGCGCGGGGGCGTCGGGATTGCGGTGGGCAAGAGTCTGCACTTAAACCGATTCCTGTCCCGTCTGGGCAATGTCGCCGACATTGGCCCGGGCCCTGGATGGATGTTTTTCGAGTTGAAAACCCAGTGAGCGGCGATGGCTGTCAGGAGTGTGTCATTGTGTCTCGTGCCAGGGAGTCGCGGGGGAAACCTGTCCAAAATGCGGGGCGTCGCCGAGTTCTTTCGCGTTCTTGGGGGCCCCTGGATGCTGGTCGGAGACTTCGGCATTGATGTCGAAACGACGTGGCTCTCTGGATACCCCCAGTCTGCGCGCGCACCTGGTGTCGCGGTTCGGAAGTCACGTCGGCGAGTGCGCCCACGTGACATTTTTGCCAGCGACAGGCCTGACCTTCCGCGGCGGCGATGGCTTCTCTCTCTCTCTCTCTCTCTCTCTCTCTCTCTCTCTCTCTCTCTTTTTTTTCAGGAAATGAGCGCGGCCGACGCAGGAATGAAGACGGAGCGCCCTGTGCAGCTGGCGCACCCCATTCTTCGAACGACGGCGCACTCGGAGGAACAGGCTTCTGAACAGTACTCCCTGTGGTCACGTGCCGCCGAGCGCGCGTTCCTCTCTCGGGATTGCGCCGCTACCCATGGCGATGATGAGGGTATGCGCGGAGGAAGAGGCGCTGCTCTACATCTGGCCACGTCCGCCATCGCTCACAGGTGAGGAATGTGAACAGCCATCGGAATCCGACTCGTGCTCTCTGGTCGCGTTTCCCAGCTAAGTTGTTTGAGCTTCGCGCTGTTCTTCGACGAGACTCCGCCGAGTGCCGAGCCCACTGCCTGACCATGGAGATGGTCTGTCGGCTTGGCGAGTTCTCGCCGGCCTTGCCTGCTGCTCAGCCTGTCCCCTCGCGGGCCGCTCGAGTCACCCTTCGAGCATTGGCTGGCCCCGAGATGGTAAAGGCCCTGTTGAGAACACCACTGAGGTTCTGAAGCGCGTCTGGGCGGATGCTAAGGCGGCCGCCAGGAAGGACTTGAAGGACTGGCTCATCCGCGCCATCCCCTATGGGGCTCGAGGGGCCCGTTCCCGGCTTAAACGCGACGATAAGAATATTGCCGCGCGTTTTAAGTCACCCGATGGCGCGAAACAGTTGCCCGAGGAAATGATGGGCCATCGGGCTCATTTTTTTTGGGAGGGGGGGGGGCGTTTGGCAGGCTTCGCCTGAGGAGATAATGAGGTTGGGGGTCGCCATGTCTGACCTCCGCGGCGCTGCCGCGGTGGCTGCTCGCCCCCGCCCCCCCCCCCCCCCCCCATCGCGGCCCAGGACGCTCAGGTGTGTGAGATGGTCTCTGCAACCACCGCTGTGGGAGCTGACGGATGGAAGCCTCGCGCGGTTGCTGAGGTTCCATCCGAGGCGCTTGATGCCCTGGCGTCGTTATGTTCCTTGTGCGAAGAGCGAGTGGTCTGGCCTGAGCAGACCCTCCCTGGGCTCGATGCGCTGCCCCCCAAATCCCAGGCCGATGAGCGACCCACTTTGACATGCCCCACCCTGTACCGTCTGTATACTAAGATCCGAGGGGCGGACGTTGATCGGTGGACTACGGAACACGTCGCCTTCTGGGGCACGGCGGACAAGGGATCGTCTGCCTGGCAGGCCACGCTGGTTCGTGAGCTCTACCATGAATGCGCGGTCCATGAAGGAGCGGTTTCGGTTGCGCTCCATTGGGGCCCGAAGAAGTTGTTCGGTACTGTCTGCCCGCGGTTGCTTATCCGACTGGCCCTTAAGGCCAATTGCCCCCCCCCCCCACACCTGTTGCACCTGGACATGTTGGTCCACGCGCCCCCTCGCATGTTGGAGGTTGGTGGCAGCGCGTCGTGCATGTTGTAAACGGGTCGCGGGGTCTGCCTGGACGTGTCAAGAGCATGCATGTCCTGCGTTAAAATCTATGTGCAGGAGGCCCTTGAGGCCTGTCAGTATCAAATGAAGGTGAGCTCTCTAGGGTGGTGACCAGGGTCTACGTCGATGACATTACCCAGAACATCGCCGGCCAGGAGCAGGAGCTCCAGACGCACTTGCTACCAGCTGCGGTTCGTTTCGCGCACGAGATCGAGCTGATTGGCTCGGCGCTGAGCACCAAGAGCGCTCTTGTTTGTTCCTCTCAGGCTGTGGGGGCTCAACTCGCACATAGCCTTCAGACTGTGGACCTTCCAATGCGTCGCTAGTTGAATACTCGGGACTTGGGTGCCTGCACGACGGCTGGAAGCAGGCGGAAGGTCCCTGAGATCAAGCGACGGAGGCTTGACGCGCGGCGCCGCGCTGGCAAGGTTGCGACGTTGCCGCGCATTTATCTGAAGGCGCCTTTTCAAACCCAGTGCGTTGTCGGTTGGAACCTGGGGCCGCCAACTGGCGGGCATGTCCCCCCCTAACGGCGAGGGGCCAAGCGGCCCAGTGTTCTGGGCGGTGGGCCCCAGGCTCCTGTTCCACTACGGTCCTGGCACTGGTGCCCAGTAGCTCGGGCGACCCTCTTTTTCGCTCGCGGCACGAGCAGTTGCTTAGCTTTGCCGACCTGTGGCGGGACCTCGGTCTTCGAGACCGCACGCGCGTCAATAATGTTTGGGTTGCTGCGGTCGGCCTCTGCTTGAGCACCCCAGGCATCTGTCGTTGGCGGCGGGCGCGGGGGCCAGCGATGGCGACTGTGGCCACCCTTTTCGATTTGGAGTGGACCCCCACCTCTCCCTGCGAGTGGCAAGATGAGGTTGGCTTCGCCTTGGCCGTTGAAAACCTGGAGTTCCGGCTTTACCTTTGGAGGGCCCTCTGTCCCCGTTGGACCTGGGAAAAAGCTGCCGGGCGCTATTTGGGTGCTGGGGCCCAGGAAGGCGTCGATTTTTCCGTGCCGAGGCGATTGTCGAAGCTGTTTGGACGAAACCTCGATTATAGATCCCAGGCCATCCATCGCAACACGCTCGCTTGGGGTTCTGGACGGAGGCTCGCCTGTTCGAGGCCGGGCACGCCGCCTGCTCGTTGTGTCCCAGGTGCGGGATTCAGCCTGAGACGCCCGTCAGGTAGGCGTCGCCCAGGTAAGCCCACGCCTTGCAGCGAGGTCCAGGGTGCGCAGGAAGTCCCGCAAAGCGTAGAGCTCCGGGGCCAGGGCGATGCTAAAAAGCGCCGGGCTGATGGGGCACCTTTGGTCGAGGCCCTCTTGCTGCTCCACCAGGTGGGACACCTCGCCGGCCTCCGCAGCTGAGTGCACCGTCGCGCGGCTGTACCACTGCACCACCAGGCCCTCCAGATCCGGGCAGCGCTCCCGCACGCGGCGCAGCACCGCCCTCCGACGCAGGCGGGTGAACGCGCTGAGGTCCAGCGACACGAAGGCCAAGTCTGGGCATTGCTCTGCATCGGAGGAGATGCTCTTGTGCAGCGCCCCGAGCCCACACGGGACAGCGACCCCAACCTGGAGCTCGGAGACAGCCCTGCGGATGCTGTCGTAGCGGACGGTGCACTCGGCCCTAGCCACCATGCGCCGCGCGATGGCCCCACATGCTAAGACTCGTGCCGCCGTGATTCTTGGCTGTGCCCGACAGCTTGCCTGCCAGTGCCACGTCTAGGGCCTCCGCCGGGACGGCGCCCCCCAGGAGCAGCGAGGGCATTGCCGTTGTGGCCGCGCCCAGTGCCTCAAGGTGCGCGAGCGGCTGCCAGTGCTCAAAACGGTCGCCCTGCACCTCCGCGCCAGCGCCTCGGACTGTCTTGGTCCACTTGTTCGTCAGGTAAGCCTGGGCCTGGACGTCTTCTCGGAGCCGTGCGGCCGCCACGGGGTCATGCGCCCCCTTCTGGGGTCGTACTCTGTGTCCCGTGTCGGCGGCTTCTGCTGCTGCCCGAACGCCTGGAGCGCATCCGCAGCTACAGCCCACCGGCCAGGCCCCCACGCTGCAGAGGCAGCCCGGGAGATCTCACCCTTCAGCAGTAGCCGGCGGACCTCCCGCACCGTCGTGCCCATGGTGTTGGATCCAGCTGCGGCTTTAGTGGACACAGCTGTGTCCCAGAGTAGGGCCTCCCATCTGCCATCCCAAAAATAGCGGAGACGGCCGGCAACCCTCTCAGCCACGCTGCGCGACAACACCCTGCCCTCCTCGAACAGCTCCCCGAAGATCATCCGGTCGAAGGCGAGAAAACACTTCCAGGCACCTAGCTTCGTCTCGTCGGTGGTGGCGTTGAGCACAGCCTGGGCGGAGGCCCCCCGCGCTTTCCCGACGGCCAGCTTCAGGGAGCCTGGCACGTCCTGGAGGGCCTCGGTGGAATTGTACAGGCGGCCCAGGGCCTCCGGTGGCGACCCGCTCCACCGCTCGAGGTGTCGCAGCTGCTGCAGGCCGGCCAGGCTCGCGTGGTTTTCCAGATCACCCGCGGTGTCCTCGGCCACTGCCGCCGCCCGGGGAACTGGCGCTGATCCCCTGTCTGCGGGAGCGGGCGGAGCAGCGGGCGGGGCAGCGGCGGGGGCAGACGTGTCCAGAAACGGGGCGCCGACCTGCTGCTGCTCGGCCGTCAGGTCCCGCAGCCCCTCAACGTTGTCCGCGGTCCCCAGGGGTGAGTTCACGCACGCGGAATGCCAATACCGAGGGTGCCCGCGTGCCCGCGCACTGTTGATGCGGACGGCGCCCTGCGTGGAGGCGAGCTGGCCCTCCTGGCACTGGGCGCGTACGTGGGATGGCTGGATACTGCACCGCCACTGGGCCGGTAAATCGGCCCCGGACGCGTCTCGTTGTCGTCCCGCCGCTGCTGTCCCCCTTCCCTTGGCCCCTCCCGCCGGACGCCGCGATCCACCGAGCTGGGAGCGGGTTGCTGGCCGTCCCCATTGGGAGCAGCGGCGCGCGCCTCGGCTCGCCGCAGCTCCGGGAGCGGGGTGCCCATGTCCTGCTCCATGTGGCTCGGCGGGTCGATGGTGAGCTGCTCGAGGTTCTGCTCGAGGTTGGCGGCAATGTCGGAGGAGCTGGGCGCATCCCCTCCACCTCCTCTGTCCCCGTCCCTCCCCGGATCGGCAGTCACGGCGTGGGCCACGGCCCCCTGAGCGAAGCGAGACAGGACAGGTGCGCAGAGCAGAGAGCGAGGAAATAGATGTGTCGGTGTGGAGGCTCGGTATCAAGCCACTGTCCCCCTCGCGGCAGCTTGACTCTTCGTCCACCTCCTCCTCCTCCTCCTCCTCCTCCTCCTCCTCCTCCTCCTCCTCCCTCCTCCTCCTCCACAATTACACAATATGAATACTACTCTCCCACTTCCCCTGATGGCGTCCGGAAGATGTTCGGCACCCCCCCGCGTACTGTTTTTTTACACACAGGATTCCCCGGAGTTGGGTTTTCGCTTGTGTTTTTTTCTCAAATGCTGCTCTCGCTGAGGCGCTGGCCTAATTTTCGGGCTCCCGCTCCTTCCGAATCGTGTTCCCGCTGCAGCGCTGGCCTCATTTCCGCGCTCCCGCTCGTTCCGAATCGTGCTCCCGCTGCAGCGCTGGCCCAATTTCTGCGCCTCTCGTTGTTCCAAAACGTGCTCCCGCTGCAGCGCCGACGTTTTCGATCCTTTTTAAGAAGCCCCAAATCTAGAAAATGATCCCCGGCAAAAACATTGGAGGTGATTACACATCCGGTGTCGATTCGTTGATTTTTGGGGCCGCAGAAAGCCCCCCCCCCCTTTTGGGCGGCGTCCTTTTCCGCACAGGATTCCCGGGAGTTTGGTTTTCATCTATGTTTTTGGAGTCGCACAACCACCGGAAAGCCGCGGCCGCGCGAGGCGACGGGTAATCCTTGTTGCGCATATCATGTCTGGTGTACTCGGCCCGCACAACGCTGCACTTTTTGTAATTCCAAACAGGTGCTTTGCCAATCTTGCCCGTCTCTTTCTTGACATCGCAGAAAATGCGCACGAGCCGCAACGAATCAACCTCCTCCCGGGCGAGGTCGTACATGGGGACGCCGGCGCCGCCGACAGAGAAGAGTCCGGTGTTTGCATCGTACCGTGGGCCTCATTTTCGGATCGGTGTTTGGCCTCCGTCGTTCAGGATGGCGTTCTCGCCCCAGCGCGGGCCTCTTTCTCGCGCGCCCATCCGCCCGCCACCACCGCGCCGCACCACCACCACCACCACCACCACCACCACCACCACCACCACCACACCACACCAGCACCAGCACCAGCACCAGCACCAGCACCAGCACCAGCACCAGCACCAGCACCAGCACCAGCACCAGCACCAGCACCAGCACCAGCACCAGCACCAGCACCAGCACCAGCACCAGCACCAGCACCACACCAGCACCAGCACCAGCACCAGCACCACCACGCACACGCACGCACGCACGCACGTGCACCACCACCCACTACGCACGCGCGCGCGGAGCCACAGGCCGCTACGACACGCGTCCGCGGATAGAGAAAATCAGCGCCATGGTAAGGGATGGGAGGGAGGGGTAGGACGTCAGATATGACGCGAGCGCACCTAGCTTGTCCCCCCCCCCTCCCCCTCCCCCTCGAGGCGGGGGGAGGGAGGGAACGGATAAGCTGTCGTCTGCCCATGCGCTGGCCGTGGCGCCGCGTGGCCAGCGGCTCGCGGCGGGGAGGTCGGCACGCACCGGAAGTCCGAGAGGTTCGCGCTCGAGAGTTTAGTTGGAGCCAAGGGGTGGTGCATCACATGCGCGGCGCGCTGCCATTGAGTCTCTTTCGATGTCTCTACGCACATGTGTCGCCGCGCCGCTTGTTCCGCCGCGCGGCCTTGCGTCTTGGGGAGGGCGCCGCGCCCACCAGGGCAAACGCCGCCTCGGAAGCGGTGGGTTCGCCGTGGGTGTGCCGCGGTGCCGACATCGTCTGGTTCGGCGCGGGACGCAGGTTTTGCCGTGGGTTTGCCGTTGCCGTGGTGTCGGCGTCGTCCACTTGGGCGCGTCGAGAACGAGCGGCGCGGCGACATGTATTCACACGTATATCTAGCAGCCCACATACACACGATTGTACCTATGCTTGTTGTAGTTCTAGTGGTATCTTCGAGTTAAATGTGTTTTGTCTGTGTGATCATGGGCTCCACCGGTGCTTCATTGATGGTCGTTGTGTTTTCGTTGTGTGCATGGCTTGTTTCTTGATGTTCGCTATATCTCCTTGTTTGTCTCTGAGGCGGCCAGTTTCGGAGGCCGGAACGGAAAGTAAGGCAATCAACCAAGCCGCATAACAATCTGCGGGAATCCATAGAAGCATATGATGTCAGGGTATGCCCTTTGTGCTCTCCTATTCACGAACAGCGTTCCGCCAGAAGGGTTTTATATTGGTAAAGCAGAAACAGCTGAAGAGACCCAGAGGCGGCGGGGAGCCCTGGACCGCCCGATATGGCAGCCGTTTCGTTTGTCCTCATCATTACCTAACAGCGAAGACTGATAGGTTTCTAGTAGGGTCAACAGAGAGCATCATGACTTCCCAGGGGGGTCCAGGCAGGATCTGGGGGGATGCCGGGGAACTCGTTTTAAGCAAACAGCAACGCATTTCGTGGTCTTCGAGTTCCCAGAACTCCACTCCTGGGCATGATTTTGAATGCCCGGAGCCAACTGTAGGCCACTTCGTGTTCTTCGTGTTCCCAGAACACCATTCCCGGGCCACATTTTGAATGCCCAGAGCCAACTGTAGGCCACTTCGTGTTCTTCGTGCTCCCAGAACACCATTCCCGGGCCACATTTTGAATGCCCGAAGCCAATTGTAGGCCACTTCGAGTTCTTCGTGTTCCCAGAACACCATTGCGGTCACATTTTGAATGCCCGGAGCCAATTGTAGGCCACTTCGTGTTCTTCGTGTTCCCAGAACACCATTCCCAGGCTACATTTTGATTGCCCGGAGCCAACTGTGAGGCTGAGGCTGAGGCAGGCTGAGGCTGAGGCAGGCTGAGGCTGAGCCTGAAGCAGGCTGAGGCTGAGGCTGATGCAGGCTGAGGCTGAGAGGCTGACGCTGAGGCTGAGGCAGGCTGAGGCTGAGGCTGAGGCCGAGGCAGGCTGAGGCTGAGGCTGAGGCTGAGGCCGAGGCAGGCTGAGGCTGAGGCTGAAGCTGAGGCAGGCTGAGGCTGAGGCTGTGGCTGAGGCTGAGGCAGGCTGCGGCTGAGGCAGGCTGAGGCTGAGGCTGATGCAGGCTGTGGCTGAGGCAGGCTGAGGCTGAGGCTGAGGCCGAGGCAGGCTGAGGCTGAGGCCGAGGCAAGCCCAGGCAGGCTGAGGCTGAGGGTGAAGCTGAGGCAGGCTGAGGCTGAGGCTGTGGCTGTGGCTGAGGCTGAGGCAAGTTGCGGTTGAGGCTGAGGCTGAGGCTGAGGCAGGCTGAGGCTGAGGCTGATGCAGGCTGAGGCTGAGAGGCTGAGGCCGAGGCAGGCTGAGGCTGAGGCTGAGGCCGAGGCAGGCTGAGGCTGAGGCTGAGGCAGGCTGAGGCTGAGGCTGAAGGCAGGCTGAGGCTGAGGCTGCTGAGGCTGAGGCAGGCTGAGAGGCAGGCTGAGGCTGAGGCTGCAGGCTGAGGCTGAGGCAGGCTGAGGCTGAGGCTGAGGCTGGCTGAGGCTGAGGCCGAGGCAGGCTGAGGCTGAGGCCGAGGCAAGCCGAGGCAGGCTGAGGCTGAGGCTGAAGCTGAGGCAGGCCGAGGCTGTGGCTGTGGCTGAGGCTGAGGCAAGCTGCGGCTGAGGCAGGCTGAGGCTGAGGCTGATGCAGGGTGAGGCTGAGGCAGGCTGAGGCTGAGGCTGAGGCCGAGGAAGGCTGAGGCTGAGGCCGAGGCAAGCCGAGGCAGGCTGAGGCTGCGTTTGCGAGAACAGCAGAATTCTACAACTGGATTCTCACCTAAATCTTAAGGGGAATGTTCCAGATATGCTTCTACACATCGCTGTTAGGTTGCTTTGCTGGGATAGTTGATTCAGGAATCGCGTTCTCGCCTCAATTCTGCCTACATGTTTGATCCGGACGGCCACGGTCCCTTGTACAAAATACACCAAGACGCCCACGGCCGTGCTCTGACCCCTGTCCTGGCTGCTCTCACCCCTGTCCAGCCTCGTCACCCTTGCTGCTATGAGGACGCTTTTTTGGGGGGGTGATAGTATCACAGCGTCAGATCCTCCTCCTGTCCAGGGGTGTCGCCAAGTGGTGCGGGGTAGCCGTGCAGGGAGAGGAGCGCGGAGGCATTCATTCTGTGGAAGCGTTTACCGTGCCTCCCCTGGGCGGGCCACGGGAAGAACGCAAAGCAGGGGGCGGGGCGGGAGGGGAGCAAGGAGGGGGGGCAGAGGGGAAAGATGGGGAAAAGGGGAAGAGGGCAGGAAGGCGGAGGATGATGATGATGATGATCAGGAGGAGGAGGAGGAGGAGGAGGAGGAGGAGGAGGAGGAGGAGGAGGAGGAGGAGGAAGAGGGTCCGTAGCCATGTTGGTTCAAGGCCACATGCGGGGTCCATCCCGCGCACTCGCCCGCTTGCGCGCCGCGCGCCCAGCGGGCCGGCCTCAGCTCCCAAACTGCGGCCGCGGTCAGAGGGCGCCACAGTAACGATTACAACATCAATCACCAGCTGTTGAACTATAAGCTTAGGATGCCGAGTCCATCGGCGCGAACAGACGCGACCCAAAAACGAGTTAGGCACAACGTCCGTCATGGGCCGGGGTACAGCCTTGATTCGAGGACACCGTTATCATTGCTACGACCGCGATCGCCAGAGCGCCCAAGCACAAACTGCGTAACACGTAGCCCCCGTGCGAGAAAGAGCTGCGCAAGAGGAAGCCCACGTACCAGAACGAGGTGAGTAACAGGCAGCCCAGGGACGACCACCACCATTACGACACCAGGTGCGCCACCAAGACCGGCACCAGGACCGACACGACCGTGCAACCCGAAAGGTTGACTAAGTACGTTGTCGTGGAGGTACCGGCGGACAACGGCCGCGCCGCCGACAACGAGTGCGGCTACGGCCGCGTTGCCTGCTACGAGTGCAACTATGGCACCTGTCCATCTTCACGCTCACGGTTGAAGAACAGCATCGGCAGCTCTACCGGCTCCACCACACAGCCGAGTATCAAGCCCACAAGTTGTCCTTCATCACAGACGCCGAAATCGATGCCATCATGGGGTCGTGCGACCAGGTGATTCCGAAGCCGATGGCCACCGAGCCCCTCGTGAACCGATGGAGGGCTTGGCACGCCCGGGCAGAGCACGCCCTCGAGGAAGCCACCACGAAGCAATGTGCGACATGCTCGAGGAAACCCGAGCGGAAAAAGGGCAGCATGCCCACCAGCCGGCCCACGGCAGCCCCACCGCCGCACCGGCTGGAGGAGACGGTCGCGCTCCAGCGTGCCCGCCGCCTGCACCGCAGCTTCACTGAGCAGGTTTGCCACCACTTCAAGGGCAACGTGCTGCTGAACGACAAGCACCTCTCCAAGTTCGCCCAAACTTGCATAGATGGCGTCGTGACGGCCCCGCCCGGGGGCATCCCTGCGTACCACCGTGCGCTGGACAGCCTCTCTTCGGCCATCACCGCCGAGCAGCAGAAGATATCAAACTCCAAAGCGCGATCGTGGGCCACCGTGTTCGCCAAGTGGAGCTCCGACGTCTACAACTACGCCACGCCGCGCTTCCGGGCGCCTGCTCCTGCCGCCGGCTTCGACGCGGCGGCCATGCGGGGCGAGTGGAAGCAACATTGGGACCCTCTCAACTACGACCCTGAGCCCCTGACAGCGCGCTGGTTGGAGTGGGCGGAGGGCGCGGAGTTCCCGCAGAGCGCCTTCGAGGAGCAGTGGCTCCCGTCAGAGGAGGAGTTGATCCACTCCCTGAAGAAAGCCAAGGGCGCAGCCGGTTTCGACGGATGGACCTCCAAGGAGGTAAAGCTTCTGCTACAGAACGCGCCGCCGATCATCACCGAGCTGTACTGCCTGTGGTGCCACACGTCCATCTACGCCGTGCAGCACGCTAGCCGCGCGCCGCGCGACCTG